TCGTTGCCGCAATCTCCACGGTGATGATGTCCCATTCAAACGGGAACCTGCCAGGATAAGATGAGGGGGATGAGAGAGGGGCGGCTTAGGCTAATTGGGGGGCAGGGGAAAAAAGCATCAAAATGGCCTCCGTTCCTCGCCAGGTGTTGACGCTTTGAAAAGAGTCAGACATCTGAAAATTATTCAGCTCCATTTACCTTTCTGGATCACCCAGGGTGCACCATCCCCGGGTGAGGGTAACCATGCCAACGCATGCAGACGGTGACATCTTTTGCAGCTTTGTAGTAGGTAAAAAAAAAAAAAGTCCCCAGACAGAAACGAACATAAGAAGGTGTTCTCAATTTGACCAGGAGGTCCCGGTAGTCCGTAGGGGGCTTCCCTGGGGAAGGTCTAGGAAAGTTATTTAATCAAACGGATATCATTCCAGTCATAAAATGTAGACAAATTAGACTATTTTACAAATAAATACCAAATCAATAGCACAAAAAATATTTAATTGGTCTGGAACATTGATAATGGACTTTCAAATGACAACATGTTGCACACAAATCCCTCATCACGCATAGTATGACGCAGCCCATTTTGTAAAGATAGAAACTGCAATTGGATTAGGAAATTAACAGGTTTGTGCTTTTTGAGATTAGTATCAGACTTATTTGACCAATAAGGTAAATAACACATAATAAATATTGGAAATGTGAAAATGTGGTTTCCAAAAACCTCCAGTAATAAATGTGACTTAATTTCCCACCGTTGGACAATCATTCAACACGAAAGGCCTGTGTGTGTTTGATTATCAACCCCCTCCACTCAGAATGCACTTGTCAAAACGCCACAGCTTGAAACCATAAAATAGATGAAGTTTGCTCTGCGGCGTGAACAATGGGAGAGAGATTGGAAAGACTGTAACTGAAATATACAGCGTTTTGTTTACAGAACAACACTGTAATATTCTCCTGTCTTTTTCAGTCAGTGATTATATGATAATTGATGAACACAGATTGTATCTACCTTTTGGGTGTTTTAATGTAATGTTTGGAACCAAGAATTCTTAGTTGTGAATAAAGTTTTCATTTAAATATTTTTGTTTTGAGTGTGGAAAAAGAGATTTTTGGCAATAGTTAAATACTTCATTATGCAAAGAAATAGACAGATAGTTTGGGATTATTTCTCATCCAGTCCAGTTAATGGAAACAATTTTAAATGTGAAAAATACACCGTCAATTTTATTTTTTATTGCCAGCAAAAATGATCAGGTGTGAAACGGAGCAGAGAGGTTCAGGCTTCAGCAGCGACACACTGCAACACGCACGCGCATGCACACACACATACCTCTCTCTCTCCGTTCATCACTGGCTCCCTCGCCCCGTGCTACCAACCCCTCGTCCTCTACTCTCTCCTTTAATTTCCTTCTGCTTCCCTGCTTTTCCCACTCGCACCACCCCCCCGGCCCCTCTCTCCAACCCCTTCTCCTCTTCATTTTCTCCTTCTGCTTCTTCCTCAATTTTACCCTCCAACCCTTCTTTCCATCGCTTCAACTTCTTCTGTACCGCTCATTTATTCCTGCACGCTTTATCTCTCTCTGGATAAAGCTCTTCCCACTGTGGAGGAGTTTGATCCCCCCCACTCACCCACACACACTGCCTTTATCTCGCGTTTGGATGCTGTGTACGCACAGCAACAAGGAGAGAGACCTCGACAGAGAGAGAGGTAGAGAGAGAGAGCATCCGCATCTCAGGCCACTGACGGATTAGAATACTAAAATATCAGGAAGAGAGAAAGCAGACACACAAGACGCTGAAAGCTGACATGGTGTTTGAGCATGTGTGCATCTGTGCACGCGTGTGCGCTTTTGGTGCACGTAAATCTAAGGGACGCTAATAGAACAATAAAACGAATGCTTCTTTCCAAGCATGCACACACACACACACACACACATGCTCCTTCTCTATTCCAGTCCCCCTGGAGGCTTTTCTTCTCTCTCTCTCCTGAGTTGATTTAACGCATGGCTTCTCCGCTTGTTTATTTCAGTGCATATTAATGTAAATCACCAGTGTCCACTCCTGTCCCCCCCCCCTCCATCTCTCCCATTCACTGCCTCTTTTTCTCCCTTCCTCCGTCCCTCTTGTTGGCCTGCCACCGGGTGTCAGCCTGACGACAAACAGCAGAGACAACAATTAAAAGGAACAACGGCTCCCGGGTAAAATGGCTTGGGCGCTCCTGCCCCACCGATCTAACGCCCGCCCTCCCCTGCTGATCCCAATTAACCCCCACTAGTGGAGGGGGGGGTCAGGCTACTTCAATGTAATGCCGGGGAAGATGGATGGAGGTACTGATGCTGAGGTCAGAGGAAACTGCTCCTCACTATTTGAGCTAATTTAGGAGAATCTTCCTCACTTTCAGGGATTTAGCGCATTCAGACTCCCTTGGCATTGGAATCCACCTCGAAAGTGGTTCAATCACCCCCAAGCTGACTTGTATCAAGTACTTGTCGTAAGCCCTGATCCCTTCTCTTTTTCCCCGGTTGTAATGACCTTGTTTCATAGTGCTGTGATCCAACATCAAACAGAACCCTCAGACTGAGCTCCCTCTCAGGCTGTGTATGACCTCCGACAGGCTGCAGTTTGGAGTTGGAATTGAGAGAATGAGTCACTCATATGCAGGAATCTATTTATTGTAGTTAATATGAAGCAACATCGCCGACAAACCAACGGGAGGTACTTCCGTTACTTTGTAAATCAAATCCAAGAAAAGTAAAAAATATTGTCCCAGAACCTGTTTATAGAAATGAAATAATCTTACAAATTTGTTTTTCAATTTTTCATTTTTTATGACCATGATTCTAGTCATAATAATCTTGCTAATCAAACTGACCAAAGAAAGGAAATCTGATCTGGAAATGTTGGATTATACTACAGAACTGGACAAAAAACAGTCAGATTATGACTGGTTATTAACCAACATGAAATGGTTCTAAACCTGTTTTAGCATCTTTTCCTCGACGGCATAAGTGGGCGTGTCACATTATACTTAGTTAGCTGATAAATTGATCAAAGTTTGTGTACCTCCCAGAGCAGTGCTCTGTACTCCATTATCTATAACTGCTTATGTGACGCCATGGCTGAAAACTGGAAGTTTCAACGTGGCAAAGTACAACGTGGCAACGTGCCAATGTACAGTGGCGAGCAGTGCACAAATCACTTCCTGTTAGAAAGCAATGTGACAGTTCACCTTGACATTACACTGCAACAGGCTGGATCCACTTCCATTGCTTTAATCATGACTTTATGTTTACCAGTGCCAACAGCTGCTAACGACACATTATTGCATCAATAACAATCTCCAGAATTCACATAAAAATGTGTCACATTATGCCACATTGTCAATTCAACAAACAGGCCTAGCAAGCTTGCTACAAGTTTTCAGGAGCCCAGTTATGCTCATCTGATCATAAAACACGGCACAACATCGCTCCACAGCACGGATGTCTCACTTATTAGACGCCTGGACCTCTGTCCCCCTCCTGTCCCTTCCTCGCCTCCCATGGGCGGGACTAAAGGCCGGCACATGCTTCTGCGTCTTTACGCGCAGTTGCGTCGGCGCACTCGTTTCAATTCATGGTTCTAAAAGGTTCCGCGTGTTACAAAGCAATTCACCGCCAGAACAATATGTAGAGTAACGTTTTTTGTCAAAGACGACCTAGAGAGTCACGTCTGTGTGTGTGGAAGTTTATTTATCATAGACTTTATTGCCCCGTGCATCGCCACTGCTGCTTTTCATCGCCGACACATTTGTCCCGTAATTTCCTCCAGAACTTTGTTCCCCGCAACCGGCAAACCGACGTTTGCTGAGATCTGCCTCCATGAATCGGAGGCCATCCGCGTGTCCTTATAGTCCGCCAATGACGGGTTGTAGAAGTGGTCATATTTACGCATTTCTTCCATTTTAATAATGAAGGTATTGTGCTATGAAAATGGTGAGACTCCGTAAAGGATGCAGTTAGCAGACCAATCGCAACCTTGCGGGCTGCGTGAGGCTTGCGTAGCTTTTGACGCTAGTCTAGAAAAATGGGTCGACGCACCCAAGCAAGCAAGGAGGTGTGAAAAGGGACGCAAGGGACACGCAAGATCTTGCACCTGCATGCCCCTCTGAAAACGCAGAAGCATAAACTAGGCTTAAGACGCGAGGACGAGAAGCGAGGAAAGCAGTCTGGATGTACAGACTCTGAGAGGAAAAAGGCCTTCAGTGTTGGTTAGGGATTTGTTGACCGTTCTACAGTGTTGAAGTCACTAAACTAAACTATGAAGTCTTAGGTGCACAATGTGCTTCATAATCCCTCTGATGAAGCCTGAAAAAAAACTTCAGAAAAAGAGACATTTGCAGCCATTACTATGAACGCATGTGTCTTTGTAATCAGTGTCTTGTGATTGCTGTTGGGAGTATTTTCTGTTCATCCTGCTGAATGTTTGAAGAATGGATGGACAGGTCCTTTGTCTGAGGGGTGTGTTCAGACAGAGAGGACTTGGACATTATGTGTGTGTGTTCATCAGCAGTTGCACACAAAGAGAAAGAGAGGTCAAAGTAGACTGCAGACCTGTCCTCCCTCTCTCTATCGCTCCCCTCATCCTCTCGTTCCTTTTGCAGGTTGTTTTCTGTGGCTACACAAAAGCACAAATCTCTTCCTCTCTTTTATTTTTGTCCTTCCTGTCCTTTTGTTTCCCCTTCACTCTGTTTTTCTTTCTTTCTTCTTTCATCCTTTCGAAGGAAAACAACTTCCAATTTGTGTCCTTTCACTATTGGTTTGTTTGGTCTGTCCCCTCTTTGTGACATTGTCTCTTTCTTCCTCTGCTACCCTTCTTCTGCTCCTTTTTCAGTGCTCAACTTTCCTTCCTCTATCAATTTCACTCGTCCTCTCTTCAGTTTCCTGTCCGCATTTTCTTCCTACTTTTACCCCTTTCTCTCACTGCTTTCTTATTCGTCTATTTTCTACTTGTTCGTTTCCTCCCTTTGTCTCCTATCATCTCCTTGCCTTTTCTTCCATTGTTCTCCTCTATTCTTGTCTCCTCACTCTTTTTTCTCTTCCTTTCTTTCCAATCCCCTTTCCTCTAATCTTGTTCCTTCATCTCCACCTTCGCTGGAACCCCTGCAGATAGAATTTGATTTCACACAATCCAAGTAGTAGAAAAGAAGATAAAAATATTGTGTCAGCAAAAGATTTATAAGACATAGAAAATCAAGAGCTGGTGTTTCTCTCTGCTATGTTTGTGCTCCAGGGTTTTTTATGTTCCAGCTATATGCGCTATTTCTATCATTGCCTAATACACACACACACACACACACACACACACACACACACTCCTCCCTCCAGGAGCCTGACAGATGATAAAGAGATGTTGTCAGGGACTGATTACCAGCCTCCCAACTAAAAGCAAGTAAAACATCAAACTAAAAGACCACACAGGGACGTGGCCTTATTTTTTTATCTCCAAATTTCTTTTTTATGAATCTCTCTCTCCTCCACTCTTTCTAACTCTGTTCATTCTGACGCTGTGTCGGTATCACAAGTATAGGGCGTGTTTTCTTGCCTGCTGGAGAGATATTTGATTTGTTCTGCCGTTTTAGAGCTCATATTGTTTCTGGTGTATTGTTTTCATTATGACGGTTTTATTCATATTGCTGCCTGTGGCAGCCTGGGTCCCGGCCCTGAGTCACCAAGGAGGGGAGATAGGAATGGGGATGGAGCAATAAAGCAAGAAAGAGCTCACTACATGGGCTGCATGTGTGTTCATATGCGTGGCTTTGCTGACTTAGTTGGAAAGTGTAAGACTCAAATTATGACAAAAAGCTTCATCCAATTTTCTTTGCAATCTCTCTGCCGGATCCTTGCACGCACAAACACACACATCACACACTCATGTTCTCTGTGGACGAGTAGCCCTCTATCCATCAGCGTGATGAAGTTAGACTGACGCGTCATATATCTTAGCCCCTTTTCCACCCTTCATCATCGTTAGGATGACCTGTGGAAAAGTATGTGGCAACAAGTGTGAAAAACAATCATCCATCAATGAGGTTAGAAATAATAAATAACAACAGGATCCGACTGCAGCCGATGGGCGTTCCTTTATGTGTGAGGTGTTTATATCCTGGCAGCTGCTTTAGGCTGCCACTCGCATACTTTGTCTGTCCTGCTTTCTGGCTCATGGTCTGATTTGACTCCAAAATGTACCATCTTTTTGCTTTTTTCCCTGTAATTTATTATTAAAATGACCAGAAAATTAAAATGGACCCTAGGCCAACTGAAGGAGTTCAGAGTGTTAACGCAGCAACTTCCGCGTAGCGGGCGAAGATTTTTAGCTAGCTAGAGCCTATCCTAAAGTTGATTTTTGTCTATACATTTTATAGTAAGTTGTTTAGCACGAGGATATAATCATATAATGTACTATCCTTTAGAGACCTTTTTCCATGTTAGACAATTTCAGGAAGACAACATAAAGACTTTCGACTGTTTCTGCATCACCAGCAAAGAACTCATTATGAATCTAGTAGTTGATACAGGTACAACTAGGGGACTGTCAGTTACAATAAACTACTACAAAAAAGGTTTACGATGATGTAAACGTCGAGTTCATATTGTAGATGTATTTATGTGCTAAATTGCTAACATTTGCAGTCTAACGTGCTATGTTTGTCAGCACTGCAACTCATTGGCATAGTAACATATGCTACAGTAATGTGATAAGTGCATTGTATGCTGTGCGGAATGGAATTAGTAGGGAAACGCGCAATGATTCAGGAGAGTTTGGACCTTTTTCTACAATGATTAGGTCCTCCGCTTAAGGCACACCTGATTAATCAAAATTTAGCCTAGCTAGCTTGCCACTTTCATCATGGTACATTTGTAGCTTCTTGCCGAAAGGTTGCCACACAGCTACATGTAGTTATTTTTACAATATAAAATATATATATCAACATATTTGCCTAATATTGGTGTGCTAACAACCAACAACAAGCCACTCTAATAATATATATTTTCCTGGACCATTGAGAGGAGATACATTCTGCCTAATGCTGATGGCTCTCTAACCTCAGGATGTTAATACACCACAGCAGCTGCAGTCAGACAACGTCGAACAAAAGGCCATTTTTTAAAGGAAGAAAGGAACAAAGCTAGGACAAAGTGAGGAATCAAGACAGTGCAACTGACACAATGTCAAGTCCATTTCTCCACTGTTTCCTATAACTTTACAGCAATCAGTCCAGGATTGTTGGCAGGTCCATCACATGTGAGCGTGTGTGTGTGCGTGTATGTATCTGTGTGTGTCTCCTCTGTATCCTCTGTTCTACCCGCAGCTGAAGGAGGCTGATAGAAGAAAGAGCAGCAGGATGGCTCGAGGGGAGCCGGCGGTGAGGGAAGAAGCCCCACCTGTCCCGCTGGAGCCCAGGTTGGAGACGGTGGCCCTCTCTGAGTACTGTGGGACATTGATGTCATCAAACTGGCCCCCTTTATCGATCACCTCCTTTGTCTGTGTCTGTTCCTCCTCTTTCTCATTCTCCACTTCCTATCAGAGAAACGAGAAGATGTTTTCAAATTTAACAATGCTTATACATAAAAAGAAGCCACAGCTACATGTATCTTACAACTACAGAAATGGTTCTCCTACACTCTCAAATGTCAAATAGCGAAGATGAAGTTTTGGATAGAACAATGGATTTGTATTTTATTCTTTGAAATAGTGTTTTAAGACTAAAGTTGATCAAAAACTTACTTGTAATGAATTCTTTTCGATTTAAAAATTGAAACCAATTTCCTTTTTAAATAAGAATCAAGAATATAGAAAAATAGAAGTGATGTAAGGCATAAGCCATCTCTCTGAGACATTTAATTGAAAAGCACAGATCATAAAAAATCTGTCCTGCATTCTTTATTCTAATACTAAGAAATAAAGTGATCTTTTAATCTATTTTTTAATCTAATAGAGATTAAAGATAAAATATTGGGATAGAAAAGCAGTAAGTTCACATTTTTAATTGAATCAGTTTTAATTATTTTTTTGTACATCAAATTTAATTTGTAATAATCATGGGAATTGTATTAGAAAACTCAGCATAAAGATTATAAAAGGTTTGATATTAGTATACAGACCGGTCCAGCATTGTGTACGTATCGGCATAATGTCTATATTGGATGCTTCCAAATGATTTCATGCCAGCAGATTTGCAGATTTGAGATTTCCCCCTGAACAAATGCATACATGAACCTGAGATCTTTTTCTGTTGGTTAATAAGGACTATGTTTGCATATGTCATATCATTTGCAACACATATTTTCATTACTACTGCATTTATTTCAAATTATTATATAATAGAGATCTTTTCAAAATGATTAGGCTAATTTTTCGGGGGTCCCCAGATGTTCACATATTAGTGGGCCACCAAATAAAAATCAAATTTCGATAACTAAACCATAACAGGAGTGTCCCAAAATCATTAGACAGACCAACTTTTAGCAATGGCATACAGATAATTTATTCTGCTGATTAGAAACGCTTTTTAAAACAGATCATGACAATGACAAAATGATACAGATAACATCAACACTCTTGTCAAACCCTTTCCTTTCAAAAACAAACAAAACCCACACAGATTATTGTTCAACATCTGCTCTAGCAAAGATATGCAAATAGAAATGTGATGCCATGTTTTTTATCTTACGTTAAGAGTAAGTTTGATTTTACTGTTAATGTTTTGCCAATTGAGACGCGTCTTAATTTAAAACTGTGGCGCTGTTGATAAAATAAGATTGACTACAGTGTTATGGGCGCTGACTGTCGAGGAGGCCCAGCTGCTCAGCCTCAATGATATGCCCTGACATCTGGAGGAGCCCCGGGCTCGTGCTGGCTTATTGTGTGCAGGTTTTTCTTCTGTTGATAATAATACAGCGCTGCATCATTTTATTGAAATGCTGCCTATGATACTTGCTCATTTTGTTGTGTTCAGATGTTTTTCGACTCATTTGGAACTTTTCATCATCCAGCGTGACAGTTGCAGAAGTAAACAAGCCAGTTGTATTGTTCCCCTTTGGGGTGAAGAAAACACATAGCCACTCCCACTTTTGTAAAGGGATGTGAAAAATACCATGTTCATTAGCAGTGAAGTCAGCGGCCACGAGAAAATGAGTTACTCCCAAGTCCTTGTAAGGATTCGTTCAAAAGGAAGGAATCGTTCACGAATGATACATCACTATTGATGGGAGAGGCATAAGGACTATCACATTCACCGCACAGCCATCAAATGGCACCGCCTTTGGGAGCAACTTGGGGTGCCTTGCCCAAGGACAAATTGTCATGGTCTAAGATGGAACCACCAAAATACAAGCATATTGACCAATATGGTGGTTTAGGTTTTAGAGTGTCTGTAGTGTAAAGACGCACAAAGTACATTGTATCTGAGATTTCGGAGAGCTGAGGAGATGTGCAGCGTGTATGGATGGGGGGAATGAATGAACGGAGAAGAAAAAGACAAAGTAAGATTGGATGAATTTAGGAGAGGAGGAGGAAAGTTGGGGATTTGGGGTAAAAAGAGAAAGGCACATTTGGGCATGAACCAATTCATACTAATGAAGACTGACTGATGCACTGCTTCCAACCAGCACCTCGTCTAATCCGCTCACTGAGAGCGACACGGGACGAAACGGAGAGAGAGGGAGAAAGAGAGCTGAGGAGGCCTACTGAGGAAGTGAGAGAGTTGGAATCCTCTCTTGTCTGGCGGCCCAGATTATCTCTGACAGCGAGGCATGCTGGGAGTCGGGGAGCCACAGCCGCAGCAGATTGTGGTCCGGCCAAGGTTACAGTAGCCAGTGTGGTGATTGGATTGGACGGCGTATAAAGGTCAGCGTTGGGTGGAGGGAAGCCAGAAGCTGACATGGAGCGCTCAAAAAACACATTTGTGTTCGCTACGTATTTCAGCTAGCTGCTGCCGTCTGCACATCAGAGGGCCGGCAGATTCAGAGCTGGTCCAACGGGACCAGAACCAAAACACGTCCGGGCCATTACTTGTCTAAGTGCTGCACACTGTGTGGAGCCGGACTGGTTGGGAGGGTATGAATGCAGTCGGGACGGTATGAACCTTGGTTGTGGCTGAGGTGTGACCCTCAACCCCCCTTACCCACATGCACTGCTAAGCACCCAAGAGTGTTTGAACCCAAGGATCACCTGTTTCACATTTGAAACATTTTCCTAATTCATCTGGCTCAGTCCTCATCGACAGGTTACATTTAGCACACATTGCAGCATGAAGAAGGATTCAGGTTCCAGGGAGGTTTTTGCAGTTGCTCTTTTCTTTTCTTGAACTTATAATTCCAATTCTAAGCACACGGTTCCCCACTAACCACTTCACATTTCAAACCACTTCTCCCCACTCAGAAGCGAGAGAAGCCAACTCTGGTGATATGTAGGGCTATTCTGAGAAACGTGATGTTAGCGAAGCCAGGGACCACAGTCATATCGGAGCCAGAGCGGTCAACATGTCAGAAATTGCTGGCTGACGTGGAATTGGTGTGTACATATACTAAAATAATGTTTTGCTTTGTGGAACCGAAAAGCCTGACTTTATCCTGAAAATGATCCGGCTAACTCAGTTAGCCACGTACAAGGAACTACACACTCTGCGCTGCTATCCGAGCAGTTACCCACCGAAAACACAATAAAACCTATTGAGACGGTGTCTGCCCCACGGCCACTTAAATTATTTAAATAAAAGGTAAACAGTAGAGGAATTTAACAGAATAATTTCTAAACCAACAACGCAACTGTGCATATGTAGGAGATATCTGCAATATAGTTGAATTAAAGGCGGCAACTATATAAAGATCTTTTGACGCTGTAGTGTTGTCAAAAAACAATAGTAACAGTAAAGTAATGCTACTGATTCAAAAAAAAAAAAGAGCACCAGCCATTGAGTCAAAAACAAGCTATGTGACAAAATGAGCTCAAACCAAAGGAAATAGAAAAGGCCCTGGAACGAGAGGTGATTAGAAATAGGGGCGGCGTGCGCGGCGAGCTGAGGTGGTACTCACGATGTTGTTGTGCTCAGGCAGGTGGTTGTTTCTCAGCAGCTCGTCTTCCCGAACCAGCGGGGAAGGTCTCGGAGCCGGAGGGGGGGTGATGTCTGCAGGCAGGGAGTCAGGGCTTCCCATCCAGCTGATGGAGTTACCTGCATGAAGACACAGCCCCATGACTGCCTGTGTGTGTGTGGGTGCGTGTGTGTGTGTCTGAACCCTCCTTGCCCCCCGTGCTGAGTGGGCGTGAACCTACACATCTTTTTGGCAGCTTTATTGTCCGAGCTGTTGGCTGCTTGATAAATCACTGAGTTTTATGGGAAGTGCATTGACGCATCGATCCTGGCTTTAGTGTTTGGACATACCAGCTTGGTGTGTATCGACGGCCTCATCGACAGCTGTTGTGATTGAGTGACAGTGACAGGAGGGGCCTAAGCCTCTGGGCTCCTCGCCTCATTCCTCCTGAGGCCCAGAGCTGCAGATACACTGAAAGACTCTTATGAATGCTGAGGCCGTAGCATGCACCTGACACATAAGGAGGCAGCGTTTGGGTCATGCTGTGTAAGTCGGCTGACTTTTGTGTCGCAGACGGTTTTTTAAATGTATTCCCTTTGAGTTGTTCCTCAGAGTGTCTTTGATGGTGATTTTTTTTTCAGTTTTTATAATTATAATAAAACATTATTTAATACATAACAATTACTTACTGTTAGATCAATATGGATGGCAGTATTGTTGGTATGTTTTTTAAGGAGGAATGAAACAAAAAAGTCGGTTGAGTAAGGTAGAGTAAGGATGTGGTTAACTTAGCTTAGCATAAAGACTGGAATCAGGGGGGAAAAGCTAAGCTGATGATTTAAATTTATATGAAATCCAAAATAGAGATGACATTAATTTTCTTATTTTTGAGCACAGCTTTTGGTTTGGCATTTGCACAGGCATATTGGTACTAAAATTGGCAACCTCACTGTGAAAAGAGTCATGGTACCCAACAGTTGTATGCCACAAAATAATACCAGCAGATACCTTTCTTTCAAAATGGCAACTCTGTGAGCTTTAAAGGTACTTCAAATCTGTAAGCTAGGTTTACCATATCCAACTCAACACGTTGTGGCGGCCTTTGTGTGGTTGAGTGAGGCCACTCTGTGGGAGTGATACCTCGCGGGTATTAACCATCTTTGTCCTGAGTCGATGGCAGAACTGGTGCACGTGGGAGCGGTGAGCCAATAGTGATAAAGCCCCACCTGGTCGGACTACACCTCTTGCTCTTCAATGCAGACCTCAACCATGGCCTGATTACCCTGCTTGGTTTATTTAAGTTACAGAGACCGTTCTTCTACGTTACAAAAGATATGTTATTTTATTCCTTTAAAGTAAACTTTTGATCAGTTACGCTCCCTCGTTCCCTCTTGTCTTGGCCCTTGAGCCAGGTTATGACAATGTGTACGTCCAGCACATTTAACAGCAAGCTTTCTCAACTAGCTACTGGACAACAGAGTTAATATATGCCATTTGTTGCAATTATTTCTCACCATATTTGTTGCTTTAGACTAAAACCTTTTTAGTTTTATCAGTTTTATCTGGGTAGATTAATGCACTTATATGTACACTACTTTCATCGCCTTTTTATTGGGTGGCTCCTTTTTTGTCTGTACGTCTTCAGACATTTTAATAACTTCACAATAAAAACAACAATAAAAATGAGCAGAAGGCCCTTATTGAGTCCCCGTTCTTCCTATCAGATGAAGTACATGTAGCAGAATCCACATGGCATTTAAATTAGATTTTTCTCATAGTCCCAGACATCCACCAGCTCCCCTTTCTATGGTACCGGGTCTACAAATGTTTTTGTGCTAACTTCATTAAATCCTGATTCAGGTGATGTTATGTTATAGCGTTGCATACTGCCAACTAATTTGCAAGTAATGAAATTATCACAATCGAACTGGCAGTTGCCCACTTTAGCAGGTCAACTTATTCTTATTCCGAATTCAAACAGCAGCTTGGTCAGCGCCTGTTCTCTTGTGACTCAGTGTCAGTACTGAGTGACAAGTGTGGGTTCAGTTCCTGTTTTAATTTTGTTTCATACCTCTCTTGCTCCTGGGTTAAATTTTAGATTAGGGTGACCATATTACATTACAGGTCATTTAGCTGACACTTTTATCCAAAGCGACTTACATTACATTTTTAACCTATGAATTTTACATTTTTGCCCAGGGAGCAGTTAGGGGTTAGGTGTCTTGCTCAGGGACACTTCGACACAGGACACGGAGCAGTCGGGCTCGAACCGCCAACCTTGCACCCTCTCTACCCCTGCGCCACAGCGACCCGTCCATATCCATCACGCCAAAAAGGAGGACACTATGCGGTATTTCGTGAGGCTGTAAATCAGGTGTTCATGTTGGGGGCGAACGATACGGCCGACGGGGGCGCGGCCCTTTTGTCCAAGCGCAACTCCGAAAAAAGGAGGACAAATACGTGTCCGGTCGCAAGACAGGGCATTGAAAATCCGTACGTCTGGTCACCCTATGTTAGTTGAGAATAATATTCTCTCATTAGTAATTATAATTAAAAAGTGAAAAACAAGTATTTCTTTTAATTTGATTTCATAAGGGTTCAGCAGTACTAGTGCAAATACTCTTTACATACAACACCTAATGTGTATTTTAGCGTTTCCTTGGGCTGAACCCAGACAGAGGGACAAAGGACAACCAAGGGACGGTGGTGTCTACAAGGACAGGGAAGCTGGTCCAGAAGAAGGCAGCAACTGTCAATCCCTATGTGGCCACACTGATAAAAAAAACTCTTGGACTTTGAGTGGGGCTTTATGTGGCCGTGAATGTTTGTTATTGTTGAATATGTTTGCATTTGCTGTAATAAATCCAATTTTATGTTACTCATATTAGTATTTTTCAAAAATGTGATTACTGTTAAGTGAGTTTGACAATGCTTTAACTTAAATAAAAGTATATTATTGAACGGCTATCCCTAGTCCTTTTGATGTTAGCAATTATAAGGTGTTATATTTTATATTTTGAAACGTAACACTTTTTAATTATTACATTATAACAGTGACATACTGTCAATATACATTCTACAGTACAGTAAAACATATGACTGTAATTAATTGTTCATGGGCATCATGGTAGAAACCATTAAATAACAGTATACTGCTGTTTCTATACAGCACTGTACTGTGTTGTTTTACAGTATTATGCTGCTGTTTCAATTTACAGTAGTTATGCTGTAGAATACAGGAAGTGTCGTTGCCAGTAGTTTACTGTAAATTAACGGGGAAATTCGTTACAGTGTAGCCTAAAGAATAACAGTTTGGATTATAATCAGGATTTGTTTAGATTTACGAAAAGGTTGTTTCAAAAGTGACAAAACATCAACTGAAATACAACAAAAATAATGATGGTATATCGTAGCATATGAAAAGACCAATACATGTAATGTGTGTGTGGAGACTCACGCAGGCAGGCGTTGTGGGTAAACATGCGCTCCAGTCTCAGACAGTCTTGCCACTGGTTACCACTGCCTTCACAGTTACACCACAGCGACACGTCTGCAGAGCTGTTGCTGACGTAGTTGGGTGTCATGATGGTACCTACAGGTCAGAGGGGGCAAGGAAGTTAAAGGAACCAGGAGTTTTACTTTACTGTTAATAAATATCTATTACAGTAACACAAAATGAGTATCAAAAGACGTTAACAGCATCGGCAGATCAAAATCTTCCAGGCTTATTTTTTGTGTCACAGAAAGAGGAAGCAGTTCTTTTACTGCAATTAGAGCTGAAACAGCCGGTAGAAAAACATGATGTAGACTCTGGGACTTCTCCTACGGGAGCTGAAGGGACATTTTAAAGTCTGACTTTGTTTTTTTTTCTGCTCAATGCCACCATGCCAATTTTTAGATGCAGAAAGCCCAATTTTGACAATTTATTGAAGTCTGAATGAAGCTGAGGGGGCAAACACCATAGCTGAGTGCGACACACACACACTCCAAAACCATCCCACTTTTATGTGTAAAAGTGTTTGGTTTTTTTCCAGGAGGGTGGTGTGCTAAATACCATTGTCATGTCTGAACTAACTTTTTTTATGGGTTGGGTTTGATTATCCTTGGTTAGCATAAAAGGCAATGTCTTATTGTGGGAGTAAAAGGCACTTCGCATGACACCTCCTTTCCAAACCGTCCCCCCCTGCATCCCGTACCGATGAGTCCAGCGTAGGCTCGGAGGCACAGGCCTGCTGAGTCTTTCAGACAGCCGCTGGGCGTCAAAGGAGATGGCTGGCAGTTATTAAGGAAATCTGCCAGTCTGGACCTGGCAACAACACAAACAACAGCCAAACATCAAACACAGGAAGTGGGCAGGACATCTAGATGTGCATGCTAGGGTGTGTTTGCGTGCATATCTATTCAGGTTCAAGAGATGTAGGGTTTTCAGTCCAACAACGAATCATAAAACACTTTGAGATTAAGATGCATTTCTGAGGGCAAATACCAGCTTGCTATTCTGTGCCGACTTTTAATATACATACATTTGTAATATTATGTTTTCTCTGTACGTTACCTTTACAGAATGGGATAGTCAATTAAACCATAAAAGCAAATTGAAATAAATGGAAACTGCATGCCATTTAAATCCTTTAATCTACTAATAGAAGAAAAGTACATATAAACTAGGGCTGTCAATTGATTAATTACTAATTAATCACACACTTAAAAATCTAATTTGAAGTTGTTGTTGTTGTTAATGAATGTTCTTCTTCTAAAGACTAAATCTTAGAAGTTATGAGTAATCACTTTAAAAAGCCTGCTTTATACACTGTTGTTATTTTAAACACAAAGCTACACACATTTGATCATCTTTGATGCAGAATTAAACAAAGTTGCGTTAACTGCGTTGAATTATTATATTATAATATTATCGCATTAACCTCGGCCACATTAATCGCATAGAATATCGCGTTAATGTTGACAGCCCTAATATTAACTGGCAAAGTGGCAGATCGTAACATGGCAGAGCTCTAATCCAAGTAACATAACAGGCCCCAATAACATCCCAATACTCCAATAACACGATTTATCAGTTTCTGAACTATCATTTGTCAAATACATTTATTATCACACATTAACATATATACAAACTTCACTGTAGCTGACCAGTGTATCGGGCTGGAAAATGTTCCATGAAGAAAATTCCCTACAAGGTTTCATGTATGTTGTCAAGTATAGCTCTTTGGTAGAACATTAAAACAAGGAAAGAAATCTGACAAGAAACCAGTAAACGGTGCTACTCTAAAAGTGCCTAATACAACTTTATGTATTGGTCTCAGCATCGGCCCAATACATTGGTGTGGGCTTCAAGTCTAACCTGCAAAGGTCATCTCGGCGGCAGAAGCTCTGCTGGTGGAGGCAGTTAGGTTGTAGACCCTCCATCTCCTGGTAGGAGCAGGACGGTACGATGGTTTTCCTCCTCCTCTCACCACACAGGGTGTTGGTGCAGGGGCAGAAGAGGAGGCCCAGGCTGTACTCCTCAGGCACCCGCTCCAGGAAGCGCCGCAGGCCCCGGTGGCACTTGTGCTGGTTGCATCGGTTGATTCCGGGGACCCGCTTGGTGCAGGCCAGGGCGTACTCTGAGCGGAGAGAGCCGCACTTCTCGTACAGGCCACAGTCCTGTGCCGCCTTCAGGCACTGGTTTTCACCATCCAGTTGCATGACAGAGGAAGCTAAAGGGTAAATGAGAAGCGGAATTAGCAGAACGTAAAGCAGAAAGTCGGGAGGAGTGCCAAAATTGGAAGAGCCAGAGTATAATAAAAGCGAAAAAAAAAAAGAACAATTGACCGAAGAACAGTATTACATTTCACCATTTGCAGAATGCCAAGTGTTGGCTTGGGTACTTAGGCTACATTTTCAGTGAGGAAAATAAATGTATTGACAGACTCCATCCTGGTAGCTCATTGGCTGCAGCGTTGAAATCCTGCCTAGAGCATAAACGTTGAGAACCGTAAACCTGTCAACCTCTTTTAATCAGTCAAACGACTGAAAAACAAGTTAGCTAGCTAACAAATCAACAGCTAGCTATTATTCTTTCGTCATTGATTGATACATATTGATGAACATTTCTTAGGCTTTGTGATTCTTTGTGCAGCAAGAAGTTATTCACTATTACTTGTATGACTCCATGTTTGACGGCATCGACTCAAACTCATGACAAAGGAGCCATTAGTGACTCTGTGTATGTGTGTGTGTGTGTGTGTCAGAGTGTGTTTTACCAGCCACTAAGGAGGCCATGTGAGTATCCATTAGCGTGTCGTCATATGGAGATATTTCCAGCTCATCTTCCCCTGGAGAGAAGGAACACGCAAGCATTGGCAAACAATTGAGTGATCTCTTCAAATGTTCGGACGGAACAATTGTTAAAGATAAACACAAAGACAGAAAACGGTAACTTGAAACTCAATGTGAACTCCTTCAAATACAAAAGGAGGATATAATCAATGTAATCTGGAATAGACAATAAATGAGGCTGCTTTTTAAAGTGTATAAGTCAAACTATGTGGACATTTTTTGAAAAGAGGGTTTGCTGGGCGCTAAATCTCTGAGGCCTAGGTTTAAACTTCAGGGCAATAACTATTCAGTAGGGCTGGGCGGTATACCGGTTCAAACAGTATACTGGCGGTGCACTCTTTAACAGGGTAAAACACCACGACACAAAAGCTTGTGACACGTAAATAAGTAACACTAATAATTGTACATTTATAAAAATGACCCCGCCGAATTGCATGCTGGGTACAACTCACAACAACAAGTAACTCTGTTGCTAGCAGCGGTCCTTTTTGGGGTTAATTGCCTCTGGTGGCAACACTAGAAGCCACAACAAGCTAACTAGTTGGCCAGTTCTGGTAGCCGGCAGTGTTTTTCAGTAGGGTTGCCACCCGTCCCTTAAAATACGGAATCGTCCCGTATTTGAGAATAAAATAACGCGTCTCGTTTTGAATCAATACGGGACGGGGTTTGTCCCGTACTTTCCGAGCTGTCGTCAATGCAGCATCCTATCCGTCCCCGTATTGGGTAATACTCACTGCCATCGTTGGTTTAATTTTTCCAAAGGGGAAAAGGTTTTCTTAATCATTGGAGTAGTAAATTACTCAAAAAAGAATATAATAATTGTAAACAAGTTGTATAGATAGTGATCAGTTCATATGGTTGCAAGAAATAGAAATTGGCGAGACACAGTATGAGGTCGACTAAACTGATCGGAACATAATCATGTCAACAAAAGCATTTAACTTTTAACTTTTTTATGCACATAAATTGTATTGCCATTTTATTTTCATATATAACAATTACATTTGAACAATGTTCAAATCCCCCGACTTTATGTAAACAAGTGATAACAAACCCCGGCTGCTCCATTTCCCATGTCTAAGTGTCCCTGAGCAAGACACCTAACCCCTAATTGCTGGACGAACCGTTTACGGAGCCCTGCACATCTAAAACACCTTTTAAAAGTTCAAACTTAATCAAAAAGGTAATAGCATGTAAAGGGTTTATATACGCAAATCCTATTCTAAACTATATATTTATGGAAATGACACGCTAGAGCGGCCAAGCAGCGTTAGGAGTTGAGGAGTGTGTAATTACACTAATGCTCTGCTGACTAATAGGCCACAGGGGAATAGGAGTCTGATGCACACATGACAACAACACTACCGATTGTGTGAGGTCCTCACTCACACAGACACACAAGGCTGGATTAGAATGCAGACAAAAAGTTCAGGTGAGGGTTTTGGCTAAATGTGCATTAGTATCTACAAAGTTTGACGTAGGCTAATTGTTAACGTGTTTTAGATATCACACTACACTGGCCGTTGTGTGTTAACATGATCATTTTTATAGTCTTCTCAAGCATATTTGTTCTGGTTGTATGGCTATATGTGGAACATTTGCCTGAGACTGATGTTCCTCAGTACACTTGTTTACTGTTATTTTTTTCTTTTTATATAATTTGAAAAGACTTACCGAATCATTTTAAATGAAGGGACAAGAACTTGCAATATAAAAGTGCATAATACTAAATTTAAAGCATTTGTAATGGCCTCTCAATGGCTCCTAGCTAATAGTGCTAACAGTCTTTACTTGAAAGGTCAACTGAGGGTGTGTTTACGAAAAGCACCTGTAACACCCATAAGAAAGGCTGTTGAGAGCAGCAATTGTGAGCTAACCAGTGCACAAACATGCCCTAAAAGTCCTAAAAGCCGTTGTGGCTAGCTTTCCAATGTTACATAAGCAAGGGGAAGCTAGCATGACAAAACATTCTACCCAACTAGACATTACTCCACTATATCTTTACAAAGGGAAACAGCTTGTTGCTGCTATATGAATAGCTGTCAACAAATCAGAATATAACAGCAAAAGAGGCAATAAATAGATTTTTATTACAAACAAATATTGTCTTTGTATCGAAAGACTGCCATAGAGCTCTATTGTTGACCACACAGATATCAATGACACACACACACACAAGAAGTTAGATATGACCCGAAGAGCCGTTTGTCCTTGTTTTCTCTGGTCCTTACCACAACCATGCACTCAACACACAGTATTGAAGTCCTTTGAACTAGATAATGAATGGCTGGAGGAAGACCCGGACCAGACTTGCATGCTAGTCCCCCTCCCCACAGTCCAGCCCCAGCAGAGGTCTGACTAACCTGGTAGCAGGCGAACCCTCCAGTATATGCGCAGGCACTGCTCCTCCCTGCGATAGCCGCGCTGGCACTTGCAGGCCAGCAGAGCGGGGTGGTTTGCCAGCAGAGCGTCCTGTCCCTCCAGGCACTCGGCGGCCACCTGCTCCCCCAGCGGGGACACCGCTGCGTCGGCCGCACACAGCTCCAGGCCCCGGTACAGCGCCTCGCACCGGGGGTCGGCGGAGCATACACGATGAGCTTCAACACAGTCGGTGTGGGAGGGAGGGAAGGGGTACACTGGTGCTGAAGATGGCAACACACCTAGTACAAAACAGACATTGAGAGGTGATTAAAGAGGCAAGGCAACATGTCTGGAACACACCACACCTACAATAATAATAATATGGCTCTAGAAGTTTAGTTATTATTTATTTGATTATTAGATGCATTGCAATTCTCTTTTGAACAATAATAACTCGATGCAGAAAAGAATCAATTCAAAGCTAGGACAGCTGAGCAGCCATTCAGCTGTCAGAAGCATGCAAGTGAAAGTGTCCAAATCCCCAGAACACAGCTGTTGTCTTCTCCTAACTCCTCATGAATTCTCTTAACCATCTTTTTCCACAGAGGTCAAGAGAGGTTAGGAATAGACGTAATTGTTTTGACTATTCAAATTCAGCCTGTCTGCCGTGTCCCTGATTGTTTCATCCTGACCAATCCCCTGCACCGTCCCATGTGTAGCCCTTCGGTCTTTGTAGGTTTATTGTCAATGTCGGTGAGTCGTGTGGATGGTCTGCGTGCCCTGTGGTTAGAGATAAAGCGTTCTGTGATTGTTAAAACAGTGCTTGAGTCCTCCTGTCTCCCCATCCCAGACATTCCCGTGACAAGATCGTTTGAACCGGTCAAGGTGTTTGGGGACAGTCGAGGGGACAATGTAGACCAGACAATAGTAACAGACAAAGTTCGGCTTCCTTTCATCAAACTTTCAAATGAGGTGCATCCCATTTTCAACCTTTCTGTTTCCTTTAATAGAACACCTTACTAGATGTTCTTCAGCCGAGACATTCAGCCCCAGTCACCCTGAAGTCGACTAGTTTTCATTTCAGTTTTTGCACTGTGTAACTTTTTCCACGGGAGGAACTGTTGTTTCGTGTAGTGTGTCTGCTTTCATTGGCGATGGCAAAGACGAGAGGCACCCCCTGGTACAAATCCAATAGCTTATCTATTTACAGGGGGAGAGTGCAGAGGAGTTGTTTGAGGGCAGCGGAAATGTCATCCAAAGACGAGAAGTGGGGGAACAGAAAGACGGACGGGAAAACGGAGAGGTGCAAGGCGAGGGAGAGGGACGAGACATAGAGCCGGAGAGCGAGCGTACCGATGTGAACCTTGATGGGTTGGACACAGTAGGAGGAACAATCAGCACGCACCGCAGAAAATGATGTTCTTAAAATCACACAAAGATGCGCACAGACACACGGATACACACACACACACACACACACACACACAAGCACACGCACACACAATTTTTAAAAAATAACACACACAAATGTGCGCGGACACTGCGCCCCTGAGAAGGACCCTTTTATGTGTGTGTCCTGCTGGGAGGAAGACTGCAAGGCACAGAACCCATTATTACTGCCAGAACACAATACTGCACAACCACAGGAGGGGGGGGGCAAAGCAATCTGTGTAAGAAACGCACACACATACATACTCGCATAGGCTTCCACACACAAGCACGTATCTCGTTGTCAGAATAAAGTGGCTGAGAGAGCATAAACAGCTTAACATTCAGTGCCGGATCAGTAGACAGTATGTAAATTGAATACTGAGTGTGCTGATGAAAGACTAACCACATACATAAAACATTGTCGGTCGAACAAACAGCCTTTGTGGAGCGCCGCATCCCAACGCTCCTTCGCAACTCACTTTATCCACACGTTTGACTGCGGCTCGATCCCGACCACCTCTCTCCGACCAAAGGTTGCCCTGTCTCACGCTGCATCATCAAACTTTCATAAAACATTTTTTTTGTCACGGCTGCGCTCCCTTCATCAACCCCTCAGCTCAGTCACCCAGGTAATACAGACAGATGAAAGCTGAATAAAAAGCAATACATTTCTTAATAGAAACAATATACTGCCTCTCCACGGTCCAATAAATAAACTATAATGGGGTCCACGTAGGGTGGCAAAAATGGAAAGTTTCCAACTTGAATATTCCTGGATTTTTGAACCCTATACAGCGCAAATGTTTACTCATATGAGCCAGTTTTCAGCTTTATATCCTCAGTTGGGGCCCTTCTGGCAGTTCCAAAGTCGAGGCTTAAATCTATTACTGATGTTTTTGCCATCAGGACCGTTTGGCTTTGGAGCAACTGGCCTGGGGAGGGAAAGGTCTGCCGAAATCAGTGAGCTCTTTTAAATCACCCATTTTTATAGATTTGCTTTGATGGGACGTTGTCTTTGTAGTTCTGTTATTGCACCTTTTCAAAAAATCATTTGAGCCTTCATGTGTACAACAAAGGGACCACTTTTAGTGCATTATCATTATTATAGAATTATTACAACTGTCACTTAGAAGGAGGATTTACATTATCGTCTTCTCAATCTCGTTAAAGTAATGCTTGTTTTGTTAGGGTACTACTCTGCCTTTTTGGTCTTGATTGCTCTGTGACGGACACACACACATAAACACACACACTCTGCGGCAAAGGAAGTGCCACTAAAGTGAATAAGGTGGCCAGTGTTGTTGTTGCCTAGTAATTGTAGTCGTAGGCCGCTTTAGGAGTCTGTGAAGCGGTGTTCCCACAGGAAGTCCAAGCTGCAGTGTGTTATGTTGCCAAGCCAGAGGGCCAGAACAGTCAAATTGTTTAGCTAAAACTAACTTTGCCAGCAAGCCTTTTTTCCTCCCAGACCTCAAAATGTTCAGTTAGAGAGAGAAAGCTCCCTACTGATGGGAAGTTAATGTTGGTCAATAAATATACGTGCCTTTATTGCGGCAAGATTTCCCCGAAAACCTGTTTGCCATTAGTAGTTTGCAAAAGGGAAAGGTGTCCGCAGGTGGCAGCAGCACCCTTCATCAGTGCTGATGGAGTTTATCCTTGTTTTCCTACTGAAAACAATGAGCACACAATATGCCATCTGCTGCACACCGCTCTGTGTGAATACACAGAGTCTGGAGCGCTGCTTGGAGGAAGATCACAATTCAGACCGAGTGGCCGTTTGTTTTACATTCACTCGAACCAGCAAACCAACGGGTCTCGTTTATTAACAGGTGCTCCAGGTCTCAAGCGCAATGTGACGCTCCATTTGGACTCAGCTAGCATCTGCACAGCTGGTCCATTAGCGGATAAAAACAGGCCGTGGAAAAAATCTCTAGGTATCCACATCCTAAAAATAATACAGGGTCAAAATTAGCTTTGTGTTTACTTTGCTAATAGTACTAGCATGCCACCGTTTTTGGTCATGTCATTATATCCCTGTCTAGTATAATTCTGAACACATTAAATAATATTTTCTAAAATTATCAACATGAAAAAGGTGAGAGCAATGCAACTTTCAATAAACACTTCATGTGCGGCAGTTTTCCGCCACACTAAGTAGCTTTGCAAACCATCTGGCGATGGACAGTCACAAGCTGGGAAGTACCCTACTGATAAATTAAACCAGTCAGTTCGACCCTTCCTGGACCAGCTGTTTCATTTACTGCCGTCTCCAAGAGCTAGAGCAATATGATGGATATGCGACGAGTGCCTCGTAGTAATTCAAGAAAATAAAATTCGGAGGCACCTCATTGAGCAAACGTCAAACGTTACGCAAGGGATGACAGGAGAGGGCCACTGTGTCCAGTTTGACTGCATCTACAATCTGAGGCTTATGACCCTGATGTGTTTCTGAACTATGTGCTCCGCTTGGGTCTAATATGTGACCCAACTACTTCAAAAGTAATACAACAATCCTCTTTTATTTAAGTCATGACCAAAAGCTAAAAACAAGTTGTGAATATGCTGTTGTTGATACAATAATGAATATGATGAAATCTACATTCACTAGTATTAAAATCTTTCATGTGTATGATATAGGTGAATACCGTACAACCTCACCTCACTTAGCACATTGATCCCATGGTGGTAACACGTTGTGCCATAGTGTTGGATATGATGTGAAACCTGCTGGATTCATTTACAGCCCAAAGTGCGTTACCGAAGCTAACCCACAATGGGATTCAACTTGTAGGCTGCCTGCTTTTGTCTTGCTGATCATCCTGGTCAGAATACACTGACTGGTATCACCACTTGTCCATCTCTCTGTACAAATATCACCCTCTTTTTATACTTGCCACAGAAAGACAGTGGTGACGTAACAGGGCAAGGAAGTGTTTCTAATGGGTGACACATACAGTACTACAAAATAGGGGTCAGCATTTCACTTCTTCAAATACATCCTCAAAATATAAAAAAGAACAAAAACTCAAAATTGGACCAAATTGTGAACAGAGAGAGCCCGTCAAAAAAACCCACTTGAATCAAGCTCTGTAGCAGCATTGGATGTTTTGAGGAGACCCCAGGTGTTGAAGATGGTGCTGGCTGAATGTCAGTTCCTATGGCTAATTGGCAACTGAAAGTTTTTTTGTCTCAAATCCAATAAACAAAATATGAAAGTGCACCTTCAACTAGATTAATACAGAGCAGAGGCAGACTGCAGCAGAGAGAAGACAGACTACGTGTTTGCAGCCTGTAAATACAGGACACCTTCGAGCCGCTGAATGGACTTTGGCTTCCTATCCTGTGCTTCCATTGAAAAAGCTCATGTTGAGAGCCAATAATTGAGTGGCCTTTTAACAGAGAAAAACTTCATCACATTGGTCAAATTAATTCTGTAGCACCAGGCTAGGTCCACCAATCTAATAATAACAATAACAATAATGATGTGAGCAAGAACATGGAGACTTTGCAGAAAATCAACGATATAAGTTGAGGTTTGGCTCCCTGCTCCATTTCGCGCCAGAAAGCCAGCACTCTATCCCCTAAAAAATGAACCTGAATCATTGGTGCAAAAGATAGTGTGCAACCTGCAAATTTCTAATCACATTTCACAGACGCACAGAGGCTCTGAATCCCTAAGCCTCTAAAGTCTTTTATATTCTTACTTCCTTGTTTATGAATAACGGAGGTAACAGAAGCCATTATTAGTGTAGTTGTGATCAAAGACTGAATAATGGATAATGTCTGAATGATTGCAAAGGTCTCAGTCAGTGATGAATGCCTCCATTTTTTCTGTCCCTTTTCCAAAGGAGCCCATGCTGTGTCCCTGTGT